CAGCATCATAGGAGCAGAAGATGCTGCTTGGCCTGCTGTGTTCATCCAGCTCTGCACCTTGTTGTCTCGGGTTCTCCAGCATCTGTAGTTCCTACTATCACCAATTCAAAAGAACCCAGTTTTGTATTTAAAACCCAACCCTAACTTGATCGGCAATTTTTAAAAAGCCCTGCCCACTGGTGACTGTATTGCAATAACAACAGCGAAAAGATAAGAGGGAGGGAACTAAATCAAAATGCTGTCAGAGGGGGAGATTATGCACTCTGGCTGCCACAGTGGTTTTTACAGGCTTTGAGGAGAAAACATCAGGTTTGTTTTTTGCAAGCCCATCGCTAAAATCGACTAATGAAAACAAAACAGTAACAAATAAGATCTGCCCACCAGGGTCAGTGCAATAACAGAGCAGGGCTAGGCAGAGAGGGAGGGGTTAAATCGAAATGGTATTGGTCAGAAGTCACACGACACCAGGTTACAGTCCAACAGGTTTATTTGAAATCACAAGCTTTCGCAAAGCTGCCCCTTCGTCGCGGTTCTGTTGTGAGCCTCAAAAGGCACCAATAGTTTCACCTAAATTCTAACTTCACGGCCTGAGCATGTCCAAACATTGCAACCAACCATCATTAAAATATAGGGTACACAGCAAGATTCCACAAACAACAGCATGATAATCACCAGACAGTCTGCTTTAGGCAGTGCTGGTTGAAGGGTAAGATATGGCCAAAACACCAGGGATAATTCCCCTTCCCTGTGCCACTGGGGAATTCACTGGGTCCATTAAGAAGGAAGTTTAGAAAACCTTAAAGCAATCAGAGTCAACATGGTTTTCTGAAAGGGAAATCATATTTGACACATTTGCTAGAATATTTTTGGAGGAAAATATTTGCAGAGTTGATAAAGGAGACCCAGTTAATGTTGCATATTTTGATTTCCAGGAGGCATTTGATAAGGTACCACATAAAAGATTATTGCACAGGATAGGAACTTAATGCTATTGGACAGTAATGTATTAGCGCGAATTGCAAATTCATTACCGCACAGAAGATAGGATTAATTGATCTTTTTCAGGTTGGAAAGACATAAATAGAGGAATGCCACAAGGATCAGTCCTAGGACCTCAATTATTTTCGATGAGGAGCTAACATGGAAGAGTTGAGACCTGGGCCAGATCAGCCATGATCTTATTGAATGGCCTGAGGGGCCAATCTGCCTGCTCCTGCTCCTGTTCCCCCTCAGTATAGTGTGTGGGATCTTTTATACGTACCAGAAGGGGTTAATGGGAGCCTCAGGCTAACATCTTATCTAACAGGTGACACCACCAATGGTGGGGCACTCCCTCCCTAGTGCACTGGGACTGTCTGCCTGCTTTCTTGGTTGCAATGTCTCCAAACTCACAACCTCCTAACTCAGGAGGTAAGAGAGTGTTGCCAGCTGAGCCGCCGTTAGCAAAAATGATTCCTACGTCCAAAACATAAACATGGACTGCACCTCCACACTCTCTGCTTTTCTGTCTCTTTGGAGGAGTTTACAGTTACCCTGATGAGATGTTGATCCTGTTCCACTCGGTGAAGCTTTTAGTCAGTGTAGTCATGACTGTTAGTCACTAGTTTCAAAACAGGCAATGTGTGTGTGTAAGTTATTTGTTTATGAGGTGGAAAGGTGGAGCCTCTTTCAGTCGATGTGGTCAGTTTTATATCCAAAACAATAAGGGGATGAGAAAGCTTTTGTGCACCTCCTGTGCAGCTATAAGCTTGTACGCCTCGCTCTGTCTAAGCACCCTATGATCTGTATGTCCTTGTTTGCTCTGATCTGCCTGTACTGCTCGCAAAACAAAACTTTTCACTATATTTAGGTACATGTGACAACAATAAATCAAAATCAACAAAGATGCTGAACAGATGCTGGAGTCAGAAATAACACAGTATGAAGCTGGGGGAACACAACAGGCCAGGCAGCATCAGAGGAGCAGGAAAGTTGACGTTTTGGGTCAGGACCCTTCTTCAGAAACATCAACTTTCCTGCTCCCAAGACACTGAACAGTGTTATTTTCAAATACAGACATCTGGGCAGGTAAGTCAGTAATGGAGATCAAAATGTGTGTGTGTGTGTATACATATCTGCACGTGTGTCTACATATGTACAGCATTTAAGCAAGTGTTGTTGATACCTTGAAGATATCAGGTTAACAGTACTGTCTGACAATGTATTGTGAGAAGTTTCTGGTTGTAGGGCAAATGACGGAACAGATATTTCAGGTACTGGACAATTACACTGAGATCCAATCAGGTTCAAAGAAACTTCACGGTCCCTTTAACTGATTAAAGTGCTCCCCTAATTTCAAACTCCTTGATCAATAGGGGACTTTGTCACTGGGCGTGCCTCTGAGAACCGGTTATTTCGACATTTCGTTTGGCAACCACGGCAATAAACCCAGTGTTTTATCAGGGGCGCCAGAATGGGACAAATTAAAGGAACAGCGCAACTTCTGAAACACACGCACACACACACAAAGAAATGCAGCAGAAACTGCTATTTCACATCAGCAACTGGGACAAAGGCCAGTGTGAGTTGTCACTTTCTTTGAACGTGCATCATGACTGCACAACAAGTCTGAAGCATCTCTCCGGATTGTTACAGTACACGCGAACTGTTGTTAGTTCTGTCTGCTCCTTACCTTGTGTTACAGTGTTGACAAGCAGGATGACAGTCCAGACCAGGAGCCGGGAGCTTATGTTGCCCTGAAGATCCATACTTAGCTTCTTCTGCCCCTTGATCAGTGTTCTTTCATCTGCTCACTTCCTCGTGTGTGTGTGTTTGAGGGGGTGGCTGGGGTTTGGGTAGAGTCACACAGAGAAATCCTTACTGATGTTTATGTGCAAGTTGTTTTGGTTTGGGTTCAGCCCTGGCTGATTCTGCTAGCCAGTGCCTCTGTTACTAACTATGAGCTGAAACTGTACTCAGAGCTGGAAAGCAATAGTTATCGGTGAAGGCGGAATTGAAATAGTCGTTTTTAATTGGCCCTCGCTTCAGTGATTGGCACTTGCTCACAGGCGGTCAGAGTTTTAGTCAGGTTCAATTTGATGCCTGCTCCCAGCCGATTGTTTCTCTGCCCTACTCGCTGGGAAACTTTTATGTACATATGCCAGTCTGGCAAAGAAAGGCAGGCTAATAAAAGAACCCCCTTCCCCTCCCCCATTTCTGAAGAAGGGTCTAAGCCCGAAACGTCAGCCTTCCTGCTCCTCTGATGCTGCTTGGCCTGCTGTGTTCATCCAGCTCTACACCTTGTTATCTCAGATTCTCCAGCATCTGCAGTTCCTACTATCTCTAAAAAAAGATCCACAGCTTCAGGAACAGGACAGAAACAGCCCTGAAAGCAGCTTTCGTTTTGTATCACCATTGGTCAGCTCTTTTTATCAACATTTTATGCACTAAATAGATTTCCACCTGAAGGCTGCTTTTATCTCACAAGGAGAGTGGGGTGACACACAGCACAGTGAAGACTCAAATGAAGGCAAAATACTGAGGATGCTGGAAATCTGAAACAAACACAGAGAACGCTGGAGAAACGCAGCAGGTCTGGCAGCATTTGTACAGGGAGAAACAAAGTTAACAGGAACTTCAGAATTGAAAAAGAGTCATATTGGACTCGAAACTTTCTCAATTTCTCTCTCCTCACAGACACTGCCAAACCTGCTGAATTTCTCGAGTATTCTCCGTTACAGTGAACACTCAGTGGCCTACTTTCATTAAATACACCTCTGGAGTTTTAAACAAGGGACCCCCAATTTTAGTTACCCCTACCGGCCAAACAACTTCGTTGCCCTCAAACTCCCATGTTAACTAAATGCAAAAGTTCACAGATTTATTTTATTAAAACAAAGAAGAATCATTCTTTTTTCATGGTCCAGTGAAGGTTATCTTTGGGTGTTGACTACGAGGCTAGCAGGAGATGAGACATCCTTTCCTGAGAAAGAATCCTTTCTTGCAAAACCCTGAAAAGTTGGCAACACCTAGCAAAGCTAGAGTTTGGCCGTGGTTTCAGATCATTTACTGTGGAATTACTTTCAGAGAGAAAATAAAAGCTTGTATCTTTTTCCAAAAAGTGGAAGCGAATGTTTGAGGCACGTGATTGATTTCCAAACACTCCTTTGCTGTGAATCTGAGTGTGGTGTCAGATTCTGCTGCCCTGTCCCTCTGCATGTACAATATTGTTTCTTTCATGACATCTCAAAGCATTTCTGCCTCTTTAATCAAAGCAGTAATTTCTGACTGGAGGAATTATTTTCATTGTGAAAACCAACACTGTGGCATGAATTCAGTCCTTGGTGTCCAGTTCCTTTTCATGGGGAGCTAACCCTAAGTATCGCAGTGTTTAATGATGGATAACTGAAACTTTAGCAATTACCTGTCCCACAGGTACTGCCTCCTACGTCCACCAGATACAGACAGATTCACTCTCCCAACTTGGGCCCATTGAGTCTACACCGACGCTCTAAAAAGCATCCCACCCAGATCCATCCCCAAACCTATCCCCATAACCCCGCATTTCCCATAACTAATCCACCTAATCTATACATTCCTGGACACTTTTGGGGCAATTTAGCGTGGCCAATCCACCTAACCTGCACATCTTTGGACTGTGGGAGGAAACCGGAGCACCCAGAGGAAACCCACGCAGACATGGAGAATGTGCAACTCTACACAGACAGTCGCCCGAGGCTAGGATCAAACCCAGGCCCTGGCACCATGACGCAGCAGTGCTAACCACTGAGTCCCTGTGCCACCCTGTAAGTGACCCAGATCCTGTACCAGAGTGGCGATCACTGGCACTGAGAATGTCTGGCTACAGTTGCCACCTCCAATTGGGCGTAATCCTTGAGGGGCATGAGCCCTTACTGAGCTGAGCAGAACAGCAGATGGCATCTCCAGCCAACAGGAGACCACCACCTAAGGAGAAACCTTTCAGATGCTTCAGCAAGGACAAGCAAGGGGACATGACTGAGATGCAGTCCTGTCGTGTAGTAGGACATAATTACTGGAGACCATGTGAGCTCCATCCTCATATTACATCACATTGCCAGGATTGGGAGTTGCTATGAGGGGAAGGGGGTGGGACTAGGACTGGGGTTAGGGGCTGTTGGGGCAGGGGATTTGTTTGGTTGTGGTCAGAGCACCTACTGAATGGGTTGTTAGGTATGATCTGGAAGCACAATGACGAAACTTGATGCATTCTTTTTATTCATTCAGAGGATGTTGGTGTGGCTGAATTCATCATCCATCCATACTTCCCTTGAGAAGGTGCTGGTGAGCTGCTTTCTTGAAATGCTATAGTCCATGTGCTTTGGGTTGACCCACAATGCTGTTAGGGAGACAATTCCAGGACTTGGACCCAGTGACAGTGAAGGAACGGTGATATATTTCCAAGTCAGGATGATGTGAGGCTTAGAGGGGAACTTGCAGGTGACAAAAGCGGGGAAGAAGCTGTTCTTGAATCAGTTCATACGTGTATTCAAACTTTTATATCTCTGCGCAGAGAAAGAGGGTGGAAGAGAGTATTACTGGGGTGGGAGGGGTCTTTGATGATGTTGGTTGCTTTCCCGAGGCAGTGGGAAGTGTAGATTAAGTCAATGGATGGAAGGCTGGTTTGTGTGATGCACTGGGCTGTGTTCACAACTCTCTTTAATTCTTGTTGTATTCCTTTCTCTATTACTCCCCTAGTGCTGGTGCTGGGTTCCCACGTTTCAGTTGCCTTTTGTCACAATAGATAGTAGTGGTCACAGCTTTGTCACTGTGTAAGGAGCCACGCTGAATTGTATAGCCAACAGTTGTGGTGAGAATACGGAACTCACGACATGTGGATGTTTGAGGTCAATCATTTCAGGGGAATAATGGAGAAAGAAGTACAACAAGGACTATAAACTGACGTTTTCCCAGCCACTATCAGTTCTGACAAAGGGTCACCGGACCCAAAACATTAACCCTGTATTTTCCTTCACAGATGCTGCCAGACCTGCTGAGGTTTTCCAGCAACTTCTATTTTTGTTCCTGATTTACAGCGTCCGCAGTTCTTTTCGGCTTTTATTAAGAATTACAGAGAGTTGTGAACACGGCCCAGTGCATCACACAAACCAGCCTTCCATCCATTGACTTCAGCTACACTTCCCACTGCTTTGGGAAAGCAACCAACATCATCAAAGATCCCTCCCACCCTGATTATACTCTCTTCCACCCTCTTCCATTGGGCAGAAGATATAAAAGTTTGAATACACATATGAACTAATTCAAGAACAGCTTCTTCCGCACTGTTATCAGATTTTTGAACGGACCTCTCAAATGTTAATGTCGATCTCTCTCTCTCTGAAACTTCTCTGCGGCTGTAACACTATATTCTGCACTCTGTTCCGCTACCCTGATGAGTGCATGGGTACAATCTGCCTGTATAGCACACAAAACAACACTTTTCAGTGTATCTCGGTACAAGTGACAACAATAAATCAATCAGTTAAGTCTACATCAACCTGACTTGAAAAAGGTTTGAGACAACATAAACACTAGGACAAAACAAATGATCAGTTCCTGTGCTGCAGAGTCCTGTAAGACCCCAAGAAGCTTCAGGTTACAGAGAAGTGAGGAGGCGAGCATTGGAGGGGGCAGGAGGCAGGAAGAATTGAGGGGGAGGCTAAGGAACGTGCAGGGGGTTGGGGGAAGAAGCCCCTTGCTTGTTTTGCCATTCAGATTTGAAAATTGTCATGAAGTCAGCAAATATGCCTGTGTTTCAGCAGTGCTCAGTGTTAAGGACAACAATGAACCCGCAGTGTTTCTGATCCAAAGATGGTCTTGTGACCTTTTGCAAACTTGAGATGTCTCAGAACGTTTTATGGGTAGATAATTATCTTTGAAGTTTGGTGACTGTTGAAATACACCTTGTACAATGCAAATCCCACAAGCAGCTATGTGGTAATGTCCAGATTGTCTAACTGATTTCTTTTTTTTCGTGATGATATTCAAGGGATAAATATTGGTTGGGCTGCTGGGGAGAACTCTCCAACTCCTCTTTGGAACTGTACCTTCATTTCTTGTACATTCACCCGAGAGAGTAGACGGAGTATCAGTTTTCTTTTGTTCACTCAGGGGATGTGGGCATAGCTCGCTAGGTCAGCATTTGTTACCCATCCCTAACAGCCCAGATGGAAGTTAAGAGCCAACCACATTGCTGTGGGTCTGGAGTCACATGTAGGCCAGACCAGGCAAAGATAGCAGATTTCCTTCCCTAAAGGATATTAGTGAATCGGAGGAGTCTTTCCAATAATCGACAATGGTTTCATGGTCATCATTAGACCCTTAATTCCATATTCTTTATTCCACCATCTGTTCTGGTAGGATTTGAACACAGGTCCCCAGAACGTTACTGAAAGTAACAAATGCTGGAGATCACAGTGGGTCAGGCAGTATCCATGGAGAGAGAGAGAGAGCAAGCTAACATTTTGAGTCTAAATGACTCCCCAGAACATTACCTGAGTTCTTAGACTAATTGAAAAAAACCAAAAGCACTGCAGATGCTGAAAATCAGAAATTGATGGAAAATCTCAGCAAGTCTAGCTGTGGAGAAAAATCAGAGTTAACATTTTGGGTCCAGTGACCCTTCCTCAGAACTGATGGAACCCTGTTTTTGTTTCTGTCCTTAGATTAATATGGTTGGTCACTTTAGCTAACTTCGTAAGCCCCTCATGGTTTTCATAGTTCAGGAAGATATCTACATCCTTTTTAGCAACATGGTTGAAAGATCATTTGTACCTAAATGAAAACAAAATATTGCGGATTTGAAACAAATGTAGAGTATGCTGAAGAAAAGGTCTGGCAGCATCTGTGGAGAGAGAAACAGAGTTAACTTTTCGAGTTTGGTACAACTCTTCAGAACTCAGTTACTGCCGAGTTTCTCCAGCTTTCGGTGTGGAAGCAGGCCATTTAGCCCATCGAGCCCAGAACAACCCTATCCCTGTAACCCTGCCTCTCCCATGGCTAATCCACCTAACCCACACATGGTGAACACTACGGGCAAATTATCACAGCCAATCCACCTACCCTGCACATCTTTGGACTGTGGGAGGAAACTGGAGCACCCGGAGGAAACCCATGCAGACACAGGGACAATGTGCAAACTCCACACAGACAGTCACCCGAGGGTGGAATTGAACCTGAGTCCCTGGCACCATGAGGCAGCAGGGCTGACCACTGACCACCACGCCACAGTTGTTTCTCACTTGTACTTAGCTTTGACTGGGCATCGTTTTATAGAAACATAAACCAACCAAGCAAGCTTGATGTGAAAGACCTGGCAAATGTAAAATCCAGACGTGTCGCCTTCCCTCCCTAACAGCACTTCTGACGAAGGGTCACCGGGACCCGAAACGTTAACTCTGTTTTTTACCTTCACCGAAGCTGCCAGACCTGCTGAGCTTTTCTGGCAACTTCTGTTTTTGTTCCTGATTCACAGCATCCACAGTTCTTTTGGCTTTTATTTAGCACTGTGGGTGTTCTTACACTGCAGCGGTTCAAGAAGACAGCTCACCACCACCTTCTCAAGGGCAAATGGGGACGGGTAATAAATGCTGGCCAGCCAGCGAAACCCACATCCCCGAATGAATAATAAAAGCAGAAAACTGAAGGTGTGATATTTTGCTGGACAGAATGTTTTATACACACAGGATGTCTTGCTCTGTATTGCACACAAGGGGACTGTAACCCTGTAAAAACAGATTGCAACTGTTCTAGCAACCTAATACTGGTCTTCTGTTGTAATATGGGAAGGTAACCTCCTCAGGCTAAACATCAAAACTCCCACAGGAGAGTTGTGTAAGTTGTAGGGATGAATCACTAGGTGGTGCTGAAAATGTCGTTGCGTTCTGAGACCTTGCTGAACTTTGTGCAGCATTTCGCTGTACATCTTTGACTCATTGGATGTGTTGAAGGTGAAATTAGGCTGCAGTCTCCTCTGAGCCTCAGTCTAACAGCAACGCAGTGCCACAGCAGGAGGAAGTGGAAGTGAAATAGTTTCACAATGAGATTCTTGAAATCTGTTCCTTTGGCAAACTGTTTGCATGTAATTGATGTTATTGCAGAGTTCCGAACACAACAGGAATGAGATTGAAACATGGACCTAGACGGGGTGGTAGGTGGCTCTCATCTGTTCATTGGAATTTGTCTGTTGCCCATTGGAATGCACGCTGCTGGAACTGGAATGGCCTGTGCTTGGTTAACGCTGTAAAAAGTACCTGGGGAGAGTTTACTGGTTTTCCACGCAGTGAGAGAGTTGCAATGGAAAATGAGTGGTCCACTCACTCCCACCCTGCCAAGGTTGAAGGATCAAACCTAAGGCGACAGTAGGATCAGGAGACAGTAAGGACTGCAGGTGCTGGAAGCCAGTGTCTATAGGTGTGAAGTTGGAAAAGCATAGCAGGCCAGACAGCATCCAAGGAGCAGGAAAGTCAATGTTTCGCACCGAAACCCTTCGCCAGGACTTGACAAAGGCTTTTGGCCCCAAAATGTTGACTTCCCTGCTCCCCGGATGCTGTCTGGCCTGCTGTGCTTTTCCAGCTGCACATTTATTGGCTGTGTGAGATCAGCCAATCAGCAGTGCGAATGGTGCAGATTGGGGCTGGGGGAGGCATGGAGGAGGTGAGGGCTTCACACCAAACCCGGGTCTAGACTGGGATCTCAAGTGGGACGGGGATTATACAGTGTGTATTAAGTCAGGCGCTAGGCCTTTGTGGCACAGAGTGGTAGTGTCCCTACCTCTGAGCCAGTAGGCCCAGCTTCAAGTCCCACCTACTCCAGAGGCTGTGTAATGACATAACTGAATAAGCTGATTAGAAAATATATATAAATTTCCACCAGCTCTAGAAGACATGTAATAATGAGCAGGTTGGTTAGGACAACATCTAGAAAGTGAGACATGGCCACCAACTTAAAGAAGCTTCCTGCCTTCAATTCCAACTATTTCTCAAAAGTAAGTGAATAAAGGAGGTCAAGACACTGCCAACAGCCCTGGTGGATTGGATTGGATCCACTGCCATTATCCAGTTGATGGGGTCTTTTTCCCTGACATTTTGCCACCTCTCATGCCCGCCATAAAATACCTCCAGACCTTTTTTCCATCTGGCACCTAAATAATGCAGTGATTGATGGAAATGTTCATACAGTTGTCTCTTTAACAAGCTCAGTAGCCTGTTAAAACCAAAGAACTGTGGCTGTAAGCGAAAACAGAAAGTTCCGGAGAAACCCAGCAGATCAGGCAGCGGCTGGAGAGAAAAACATAGTAAATGTTTTGAGTCCAGAAGAGTCCCTGGACACGGAATGTTAACTCTGCCTTCTCTCTACAGATGCTGCCAAACCTGCTGAGTTTCTTGCAAAATTTCTCTTTTTGTTTTGATAGCTTGTTAATTGGTTTGGTTGAAGATGGTGAGCTGGCTTCTGATTTGTCTGCCTTCCATCATATTGTAGACGGGTGCTATGATGTTAGATTGCTGACCCAACACTATTGTGCTGCACTTTGCACATTTGTGAGTGATGGGGGATTGTGGGACTGATCTGCCCAATTTGCAACCTTAAACTCCTACCCAACAAGTTGTGAACAGCAGTTTGCGGGGAGATCAATGAATCCACTGACAAGCAGATTCAAACTTTCAATATATTTGGGAGTGCACAAAGTTGTGCTGCTGTAGGAAGGAGAATGTTCAGAAAAGATTTACTGGGATGTTGCCGGGACTGGAGAGTTTGAGATATAAAAATAGTCTGGAAAGGCTGAAACTTCTTTCACTGGAGCATAAAAAGTTGAGGGGTGACCTTGTTGAGGTTTATAAAATTCATGAGGGGCATAGGTAAGGTGAATAGCAAGGGTCTTTTCCCTAAGGTGGAGGAGTTCAAAACTAGGGGGCATATTTTTAAGGTGAGAGGAGAAAGATTTAGAAAGGATATGAGGGGCAACATTTTACACAGCGAGTGTTTCGTGTGAGGAATGAACTGCCAGAGGAATTGATGGATGCAGGTACAATTACAACGTTTTAAAGACATTTGGATAAGTACCTTGAAAAGGAAAGGTTTGGAGGGATATGGGCCAAACGCAGGCAAGTGAGTCTAGTTTAGTTGAGGAACATGGTCAGCATGGACTAGTTGGGTCAAAGAGTCTGTTTCCACGCTGTGTGACTCTAAAAGTCCAATGGCTTCCAGTGTGTAATCATTAGTCCTATATTTCAGAGAGATGCAAAAGCATTGCGTTCAATTTCAATTCCTCTGAGTGTAATGCTTTCACCAGATGAGAAAGGTCAGGTGAGGGGAGGTCATGACCCCCAGTGGTAATGTTACTGGGCTAGTAATCCAGAGTCCCAAACTAATACTCTGTGTTCAAATCCTACTTTGATAGATGGTTAAGGTTTGAATTCATTTTAAAAAATCCAGCATTAAAAGCTTGATAGTAATCACTGTCAAAAATACCCAAGAAAAAACAAAGTGCTATAGAAACTCAGCAAGCCTGGCAACATCTTTTGAGGAGAAAATCAGAGTTAATGTTTCGAGTCCAGTGATCCTTCTTCAGACAAAACATTAATTCTGTTTCTGTCTCCACAGAGACGGTCAGACCTGCTGAGTTTCTCTAGCACTTACTGTTTCCATTTCAGATTTCCAGCATCCACACTATTTTGTGTTTATTATTGTCATAAATATTGATCTGGTTCCTCCTTTAAGGAAGGAAACCTTTCCCTACTGGTTGTACATGAACCAAATGGGTTTTGACAACAATCAATGTCAGTTTCATGGATTTTCAATACTAGTTTCCAGTTCCAGATCTTTTAAAATTAATTAATTGAATTTAACCTAATCGCACCAGCTGCCCAGATGGGATTTGAACCCTTGTCATCAGTGACATTAACCCCATTCTACCATCTCCCCAGTGAATACATGACAAATGGGAAATAGTCTAGACTTGTCAGCATCTGAATAAAATTTATATAAGCATACAAAATCTGGGCCATGGATTCATAAAACAGATGGGTATTCAATCCAGCAACAGGAACCACGGTCTTAAACCTATGGGTCCTACATCCACTCCCCCAGCCTTTATTCCCCTTTCCATCAAACACAAGCAACTCTTTATCAATGATGGTGTTCAGAATTTCACTTGTATTCTTTTTAATTTGTATTTATTGTCTTTGCTTTAATTATGAACTCTTGTAGTGTATCTCAAACCCGTAATCCACTGTGTGTAAAATAATCCTCTAGCCCTGTTATATTCATCTTTACATTGCCTTGATATTGATACCATGAACCTGGTTCTATCTACTCTGTTCCAGCCCTTTATCACTTTAAACATCTCCTCAACAACATTGACTTGTGTTTATTTTTAGTTGAGTAAAATGTTCCATGGTTGCTCCACGTGATTCACAAAGTTTAGCGCTGAACGATGTTAGGAGAGGTCGCCAAAGGTTTGATCAAGGAAGTAGCGTCTTCAAAGGAGAGTGAGGTGGAGAAGGAGGGGTTTCTGGAATTGGATGCCTGGGCAATTCCAGAGAATAACATTCCAGAGGATAGCACCACAGTGTGGTTATTAGGCTAACGTTTATGGTATTAACCCACAAGCCTCCAAAAGCTTGACCCACACTAATTCAGTGAGGCTCTTGAACGGTCGTTTCACTGATCTATTCCAGTGTGGCTCAATATCGAATGTGATGGCACACCTGTGAAGCCCTCAAGGATGTTTCAACATATCACAGGATGCTATATAAATGCAGGTATTGTTTGTTGGAGAACCCTGAAGTTCATGAATGCAGCCATCCTTACCCCTCTGCGGTAGCAGACCTTATACACCAGACATTTAACACTCCTGTGACCCCAACCACGTGCACATTGCTTCCTGTCTGCACATTTGTCTGTCAGCCACTCGAGTTTTTTGACTGCTCCAGTTTTTTCTTTGGCCTCCATACATACCCTTTACCTTCAAGCAGCCACATTACTTCAGATTTTGCTCCTGCACTGGACCAGGCCCAAGTTCTGGTGATATGTGGTCAAAACTCACTGGAGCACATGATCAAATTTAATTTCAGTGAAATCTTGAATTAATAAAGCTCACCCTTGAGATGGCCACATAACTATTGCCAAATTGTCATAAAATTCTATCTAATTCCCAACAATCTTCAGGGAAAGAAATCTGCCACCTTCACCTGGACTGGCCTGCATGTGACTCCAGATCCACAGCAATGTCATTGACTCCAAACTGCCCTGTGAAATGGTCTACAGAGCCACTCAGTTCCAGGGCAATTAGGGATGGACAACAAATGCTGGTCCTGGCGGCAATGTCCAAGTCCCATGTGAGAATACAGAGAAAAGTAGTGAGCCAAATGTTTCTGACCCACACATGTCAAGATCCCCAACAGCAAGACCATTAATTATCCAGGGATTATGTAGAATGGGTAATTAGCTGTGCACTATGGAGAGCTCCTTGGGTTATATGTGAATGAGGATCAAAAGTAGGCTATTCAGCCCTTCAAACCGGCTCCACCATTGAATATGATCATGATTGATCTGATTTTAACCTCAACTCTACATTCCTACATCTCCCCAATAGTCTTTCAACCCCTTGGTCATCAAGAATCTATGTCCCTCTTCCTTAAAAATATCTACAGATTCCGCATTCACTGCCTTCTGAGGAAGGGAATTCCAAACTTTCAACGTTCAGGGGAAAAAAATTTCCTCATCTGAGTTTTAAATGGGTGCCCTTCATCTTTAAACTGTGATCCCTATTTCTATACGCTCCGACTTCGGCCCCATCATATCCCCACAGGATCTTAGATATTTCAAGTAAGTCACTCTAACTCTTCTGAAGAGGACACAAGTCTAGCCTGTTTAGCCTTTCCTAATAAGGCATTCATAGAATCCGTACAGTGTAGAAGCAGGCCATTCAGCCCATCGAGTACACACAAACCTTCCGAAGAGCATCACACCCGGACGCACCCCTCCCCCCTATAACCCCACGTTTCCCATAGGTAACCCACCTAGCCTGCACATCCCTGGACACTATAGGCAATTTAGCACAGCCAAACCACCCTAATGTGCACATCTTTCAACTGTGGGAGGGAACAGGAGCACCCGGAGGAAACCCACGCAGACACGGGGAGAATG